GATGTTAGAGGGAAGAATTCCGCAGGGCTCACTTCTGCCTTTGGCCCTGTGGCGTCCCTGCTGTGCCCCAGGTCTCGCCGTGAACACGGGACAGCAGACCTTCACCTTCAGCTTCTGCAGCTGGAGGGAGTTCTCTTCCTGAGCTCCTCTGATCTTGTTGTAAAACAGGACTGACCATAGCCCTTCTGCAGAGGTCAGCGCCTAGTGGGTGCTGATGAGGCAGCTGTGACTATCATTACTGTCCTCACGGAGGCCATGAGTGACTATAGTGCACTATAGTCTTCTACTAAGAAATGATGTGTTAATGTAATGTGTTTGAATCACAGTGATGGAAAGCCATAGCATCCAGATAAATAAAGAAGAAATGGAGAGGACCTCAGCTCTGCTTGGGGTAAGTGGTCTTTCAGACTGATTTGGTAGCTTCTCCTGCACAGGACGTTGTTCCCAGAGGCGGTTCTTCTTCCTACTCTGTCTCAGTCTGTAAGCTGCACGGACACCTGTGCACCATGTGCAACCCTGCTGACGTTTGAGACACGGGTGGCGCAGCCTCAGGGCTCACGGCACCATGCAAGCTATAACAGAAGGGGATGGCTTTCAGCAGCAGCAGTGTGTTCTCTCACGGGGAGGCTAAAAGTCCAAATCCCGAGCACCAGCTCTAGGGAGAGGCTTTCTCTCTCTGTTGGCTCTGGGGGAAGGTCCTTGCCTTCTCTCAACACCTGTGGGCTTGGTGTTCCATGGAGATCTCCATGTGTCTTGGTATCAGTCTTCCCCTAGGTGTAGGAGGTTCTCAGCACAGGGACCCTGGGTCCAAAGGACACATTTCACTGCTAGCTCTTCTTTCTTGGTGGAACTGAGGTCCCCCTGATCTCTGCTCACTTGTTTAATCACTTGTATGTCTCAAAAGAGAATGAATCAAGATCCAGCCCAATCCTGTACCTTGTATCCTGCCTCATTAACATAATTGCCTCCAGTCCTGCCTCATTAACCTCATTGTGGTTGGTAGGTGCTTTCCAGTAGGCTTGGAATCATAGTGACTGTGATAGTTGAACCTGTGTGTCAACTTGACTGGACCACAGTTCTGAGTGGTTTAAGCAGTTGTGATGTGGGTTATTCCTGTGATGAGATCGGATGTATATGTTTTGAGCAGCCAAT